GTCTATCAAATTAACCATATTTAAAGATGTCCCAATTCGCTAAAAGATAACAGGAATCCGTTAAAGATATTTGAATATGAAACTTTTAATTAAATTCAAAAGCTTACGACAAAAGCATAATTCGGATCAGTTAAAAGAAGTATGTGATTGGTGGTACATTCTGTAAATTACGGAAGTAGATGAAATTGATTTTTGCTTGATATCTCGTATTGCCTGCATGTGAATAATACGCTGTGAGTGTTTCCCATCGTTTAATATACATGTTATGACCTTAATATGGATTAATATGGCTCTAAAAACAGAACGTCATTATGATTAACAACGTCATATTAATGTGTTTTCTATTCTGATGCCATGCTATCTTATTTTTCGTATATAATATGATAACAATTATGAGGAAAAGGGTTCTGTAACTTAAACTGGTTATCAAAGAGACTGCTGTTCATGGTATAATATTTAAGTAACCATTAAGTAAGATTATTGGTAAAAAGTTGAGCACGAGGAAACTGAATGAAGTCATCTATGACAAATTCCTCTGTGTTTAATTTGAGTTATCACCGTATGAAATAATCAAATCAAAATAAATTGTATCTTACAGTCAGTATTTTTTTTTATCTTTTCAAAATAAATATTCAAATTCAATTGGATCATCATTAGGCTGGTCTGGTAGGTACACCTCTTGGAAAGGCCTGAAGTTTGACGGCCTCTTCTATTTCAGTATTGCACACTTTTGGGACTATAAATATCGGGTGAAATGTGAGCAGATGATGCCTTTGAAACCGGTCAGGTTGTTTTTTTATCGATCGAGACATGAATGCAGACGGCATAGAATATATAACAGCTTTTGTTTTTGATAGGTGTTCAGTACATGCATCCCGCAATGTTATTCTATCTGTAAGACACTCGTAGTTATAACAATGTTAAAATATGGGATGTTTGGATATTTTTTAACAAGTGTTGGTACGCCTCGACTAAGTCGAGTTGAACGATACGTGTGTGCACATAATAATGTCGACGGGAAAGTGAACTAACATAAATAATATAAGTTTCCGTTTGAATCTGCATAGTAGAATAGTAAAAGACAGGACACTTTGACTGCGGAAAATAATTATTGTATAGAATTCCACCTAGGGAAATAGTTCTTGTCTTTCAGGGACAAGAAACCGACTGAAACATTTGTGTCTGTTCAATAACTTCATAAGTGAAAGCGTAGACCGTGATAGATAGGTTTGTCAATCGTCCTTCGCTCCTTAGAGGAGATCATATATCACCTGCATTTAACAACACTTTGAATGCCAATTAAAATATCGAGCATCATTGATGAAGCGGGTAAATCGGATTTTGTCATGTTTTACTCGCTGTGACATGTATCATCAATTATAAATTCTTACATTTAATTAAAAAAAATATGTCAAGCGTTCGTGAATCATAATAACAGTCTTAAGTCATATAAACCATATGATTTGCATGGTTGGAACACATAGCGTACACATATTAGCTTGACATATTGAAATCAATAATCGTTTATCTCGGATCTCCGATACTTATCATATAGTGTTAAAAAGATAATAACGTTATGATTATGTTGGGTTCTTTTCTTTCCTGTACGTCAATAGAAGGTAAAAAATGGAAAAATCTTTATAAACTAGAAGGATTGAACTGATACTATTTTTTTCTAAATTGATATTTCAGAACATTCTTTCCTTTAATATGGGTGAAAATTCCGACTCTAAATTTTGATTATCAATATCTATATTATATTATCTTATATTCTAAATTTGCTGATGACAAGATATTTGATATTAAAATTATTAAGCAAAAACAAAATATACATAAATATAAATTAATAAGCAAAATTAAAAAGTTTGACGGGTATATGAATCTTTCTTACAATTTACTACTAAAATGAGTTTTATATCAGTGTTTGTCATTCTTTCTTTTGGATATGAAATTACAAAGATTTTGAGCGTTGGTATTGTAGAGTATTGATATCCGATATTCACCCTTTTTGTAGAACCAAACATATAAACTAGCGGAAAAAAGAAACTGTGCATGCGGAGAATTGTTATAGAACATGTATTACCAACTGTATCTACATGAAAATTCACATACATGACCGAGTATGACACATACACACTCTGTATGTGTCATTAACAGTTTATCCCGTGCAGTTTGCTCTCTATAGGCGTTGACCAGTTTGCATGTTTTTCTCGTCCAGTCATCCAATTCGACAATTAAAATGTATTTTTCAACTGTTGGGTCACTCTGTTGAGATCAGTGAACAGTAAAACCAGCATTATAACGTTTTAATTTGTGATTAATGCTATGCCGAGGGTCAATGAAAATGACCGCCTCCGGATTATTGGTATGCTTCAAGCTGTTATGGGCCAAGCCGTTGTCACTACACGTTTAATGTCCATCGAAACACAATCCGGGATTTGTAGAGACGACATCAACAGTTTGACAACGTCGGCGATCGACTCGGTTTGGGACGTCCACGTGTGACGTCACGTCAACAGGACAACCATATTCGGCTTGTCCATTTGAGAAATCGCTTCCAAATGGCAAGTTTGACTGCACGGACAATCCCTGGGTTGCTACCAATAAGCCCGAGAACTGTACGGAACCGATTGCGTGAACAAGCTATCCGTCCACGACGTCCTGCAATCCGCCCAGTTCTTCTGCCACGTCATCGTGTAACACGTCTGGACTGTTTCAGAAGGCATCTGCGATTTACTAGACGAGATTGGGCAGGCATTTTGTTTACGGACGAGTCGCGAGTCCACCTGGATAGTAGTGACGGCCGTTCCAGAGTGTATTGTCTCGTTGGAGAACGTTTTCGTGACGCGTGTATGGTACAATGACGTTCCTTCGGCGGAGGCAGCGTTAGGATTTGGGGCGACATCACAGCCAACGGGAGAACGCCTTTGGTGGTTGTTAACGGGAATTTGAACGCGCTACGTTATCGTGACGAGATCCTCCGGACCAACGTCGTTCCATTCGTGCAAGGGCAGCCACGTCACATTATGCTTCAGCAGGACAACGCCAGGCCACACACAGCTCGTGTCGCTATGGACTTTCTGGTCCAGCAGAACAATGACGTGTTGCCCTGGCCTGCTGTATCCCCCGATCTGTCGACCATTGAACACGTCTGAGAAAATGAAGCGCAGATTACGGGCATTACCTAATCAACCGGTGACGTTGGCTGATTTGGCTGCAGCGTTGGTACAGATCTGGAATGCCATTCCACACGCATTCTTAAACCGTCTGATAGGCTCCATGCGTCGACGTTGCCAGGCTTGCATTCAGGCAAACGGTGGACATACGTGGTACTAACTTTGTGAACTCAGTATTGACCCCTGCTGTGTTAACGTCACTCCTGAACGGAACTTATTGATTCCATAACGTGAAAAATGGAATGCAACTGTTCATAAATAACAAATAAAGTGTCCCTGAAAACCTTGTTGTTCTACGCCATACACATTTATTTTTATAACACATTTTAGGCATGTACTGTTTCTTTTTTTCCGCTAGTTCCAGAAAAAATATAAAAAATACACATTTTTAAGAAGGCATATTTTACTGACAAAACTTTGATATGTGTTTTTAGTATTTATAGCCGCATTAACGAGATTTATATGTATTTTTTTATTTCACAACAAACAGACAAACTGATATGCCCGTGTAAATTGGATCTAAACGACGGGACCTGGACAGTAAGTATTTTAGAGATTTTTTTTTTATTTCAAGACCATTAAAAAACAAAGAATATTTTCTACCAAATAGTCATCTACAAAGTATTGGAATGACGAATTAGGCGGTCGTCAAATATCAAGAATCATATCTAGGGACTATCAGTATCTGAAAAAAAGTTTATTTGGATAATTTGTTAAATCATTCACCCCTGAATTTTTATGATGAATTATTCGAACCATTCCATTGGAATAGATTAAATGTGTCTGCAGGGGTGAATGAGTTAACAAGGTACTTGTTATATTTTACTCCTCGTATATCAAGTTAATGCTTAATGATTCATGTAATTACATGCCTTACACTACATTTAATTGATAATACAATATCATTTGTAATTAAGCACCTCATCATATACTTCGTTGTTAGTAATATTTGTGGGGGACTGAATTTCGCTATATTCGCGGTGATCAAAGATAGCGCGAAATTAAATATATGGTTAAATGCACGCTTATTCCCCGGAGTATAGGGTTGTCACATGCTCTTGTGCATTTTATTATTTCGCGAGCATGGCGTCAATTGGCGTTTATTTGATGAGGCATAGATTTTCCTTGTGTATTAATATAACCTTGTGGTGTACTTTGTTTGTTTTCAATGAGTTGACTATCTTGCTTCTTAAATGTCAAGTTAATGCTTAATGTTAATGTTAATTATATTCCTTAATTAATAATACAATATCCATTGTAATTCCACACTTTATTCTATACTGTATAATAATACTAATAATAATGATAATTCGAGATTCTGATATACCGCTTTACATACAGCACAACCTAGTTCGGAGGTCGTCTCAAAGCGGTTCACAGATTATTATCCGTGGTTATAAGGCCTTTGCAACCAGCCAATATCTTTCTCAACTCCCTGGGCAGCATACAGCCGGTATAATCTGTAATATTTGCGGGGAATTTCATTTCGCTTTATTCGCAGCCATCAAAGATGGCGCGAAAAGGATACTTACCTGTTCACTGCATAGGGATGACGATAAACAGCAATTAAATCGTATTTTAGTTTATTTTGACAAAAGACTTGTAGAAATCCTGGCATTGTTGTGCAGAATGTAATCCCCGCGAAACAGGTCTGATTTGGACAACAGCAAAATATTAGCGCCGCAAAATTTAACAACTATGCAGTATATACAATTTCCTATATCAATGGCTTTCAATCTTTACACAGGTCATGCAGCAGCGTTTCAACGGCGTTGTGGACTTTAGGAAAGATTGGAAAGCTTACAAAGAGGGATTTGGAGACGTTCCGGATGGAGAATTTTGGCTAGGTATAATACCAATATTTCATAATACTTAAACGTTTTAAATGCCATATATATACGTAGATTCTAAGACGAATACCTTTTATAGTTATCTCTGATGAACTTAATATAGATACTATGTGACGCAGAACGAACAGTCAATTATATGAAAAGAACAAGATTGATAGGCCGCTCCAAAAAAGCCGTTGCAACACATTTCTCTCTTACACGCTCTCTCCTTTTGGCTGTGTCTCTTGTTCTTGTTGTTACGGGATTTTCGTCTTCCTTCACTGACGAAGTCTGTGTTCGGTCGAGGTAAGAGGGTAGGTTGCCGCTTAACAGGTCCTCTGTGATTCGAAATGTCCTAGCCCATCCAGGTCATGCTCTGAGGTAGGACGGCTCCTCAGATGCGGACAGGCTATCACAGCGCTGTGGTCCTCAGAACGACGTCCTTAGTGTAGGCCTCGCTGTCCTCCTATGTGTCAGTGTCGCCTTAGGTACTCGTCTTTATATGACCCTTCTGCTGTGAGGTCTTCAACTTATTCACCCCTAAAGTCACATGCTAATGAACAATATGATATAAATACAGTTAAAAAAGTTTCAGCTACGTTATCTTTAGCTTATTCCCCCCTTCTTTTGTGTTTTATTTTCTGCAGCTTGACATAGAGGTATCACATATAACTTATCTTTAGAGCAAGAAGGTTTACATTGATCAACCCTTAAGAATCATTAATGTCAGTTTTGCCTGTTGTCTGGTAAGTGCCATTTTCTCTGGTAGTTCAAAAAATGAACCTATATTACTTCATAAATAAAAGTTTATATTTAAATATATTTCCTTCACTATATTCGAATTTGAGGCAAAAAAAAAAATCTTTCCACGATTCCCAAACTATAGGCTTATTATATTTTGACACCCATGCTTTTTTCTGGGAGAAATAAATAGAGACAAAAAAAACCTGGTAAGATAACATAATACCTTCACAGCAACATTTGACTTTTTTCAATATTATATCATTTAATTTCGGCTATTCCTTGTATTGTTGATAAAATTAAGTTTCGCTATATTCGCGATCACCGATTCACGTATGCCAAGCAATGAAGACAAAATAACAATTACTTTGATAACACAAATACTTGTGAAATATATCTCAATCAACCAAATACTTTAACGCGTTATGTTAACCTGGCTATGTTGCGCGAACTTTAATCCACGCGAACTAGTTCTGATCGATCGCGCCAACCGCGAAATATTATCCCCACGAACATACAACTATACACAGTAAATTGTTGGTTAAAGCAGCTTACCGATAAAAGTACAGCACATTGTTGCGCTCTTTTGGTTTTATCAAAATTAGAGAATAAAACATATATTTTGAACAATGACACGAAACAAATCATTTATAAAAGAGCTGCACTGATGCCTGAGTTTCGTATGTTATATATTTAATTTGCGTTTGCCAACATTATAATAAGATGGTGTAGACGAATAAATGTAGCACAATTAGGACAAGGTACATCCGTTGGCAAGGTACTATAATCGGTTAGAGCGACAGAATGACAATAGACATAGTCTAGCTATACTGATTTATTTTTAAACATATAACACTTAAAAGTTTATTATATCGTGATTATTTTACATTCAAGTTTTAGTAACAGTTCGGCAAGTGTGGTATTCTATTTTCATAGAAAATTTGTCATAGATAGGTTATGCCGGTAAAATAGTTTCCCGTGCATCGTCACAGTTTTGGCAGTGGTACAAAGATCATCAGTTATATTTAAACATGCAAACGTTTAATATGATCACTTTCTGCATTCTTAACTATCTAAGAGCTGTCGGTCTGTTCAAAAAGATATAACTAAATCATAGACACTTTTACAATGTATTCAAGTAACCTTTTGTCTTTTACCTTTTCGTTCGTTTGATGGTTTTCCTTAAACGTGTTTTGTCTACTTTTATTGGCCCTTATCGCCTCTTATGTGTTGATGGGCCGTTAAGAATATAATAATAATAATCTTCACCAGGATTGGAGACAGTGTATCAGATGACCAGAAGTAGCAAATATGTCTTAGTGGTTGAACTCGAGGACAAGGACGGAGTGCGAGGATGTGCCAGTTTTGATGAATTCTCGATCGGACCTGAAGGAGAAGGATATCGCCTCGATGCTTGGAAGTACCAGGGTACTGCAGGTATGTAGCATTTTAATGTTAATTAACTCATATTGGTTGATTATAATAATAATAATAATAATAATATACAGCATTTGATATAGCGCACTATCTATCTAACATAAGCCACTATAAAGCGCTTTACAGTACATAGATATACAAATGCAATTAGCATATATATTAATCAATACAAATTTTGAGGAATTCACAGGAGCTGCCTTATCAGGCTCTAACTACTAGTCCTATGCCACCTGACTAATATCTCCCTATGTGTGTACGCCTGCGTGTGAGCTGGAGATGTAATCTACTGATTTTTTTATACTGAACAATCTAATTATTGATATTTACCCTTAAGAGCATATATACTGTAAAAAAGGAGATTTTCGTGGTGTTGAAACGTTCGCATTTTCCCCAATGAGTCAATTGGCGAGAAAACAAACACAAAATATATTTATAGATTACATGTTTGGTAGATATATCGGATGAACATATCTTTCTGAATCGTTGTCAAAGTTTCCACTTTTACAGTAGTCTATATATAGTTGTTTATCATGATGGAACATTAAACTCTGGAATCAAAATATTTGAAAAGCAATTTTAACTCTAGCAAAAGCATCATACGTTAATTAGTTTGCTAATATTTTCTTATCCTCGGTTTACATTTAATCACAATGAACGCGCAAATGTGGAGTATGTCTTAGATTGATATGTACACCCTTGCCTCCATCTATACAGAGACATTTTTAACATTTCAGGTAACAGCTTGGGCTATCATACGGGTAACAGGTTCTCGACATTGGATCAAGACAATGATCAAAGGCCTTCATCGATCAAAAACTGTGCGGATGAATACGGTGGAGGTGGTAATTGGTACAAATCGTGTGTGGTTCAGAACCTGAATGGTTTGTATCTACAACTACCTGGCCGCGCGGATACGATGGTCTGGAAAACATTTCGTAATTTCACCGGTCTGAAGAAAAGCAAAATGCTTTTGAAAAAATATTCAGAAGTTTATGATTAAAATGACATGCATTTCCTGGCAAATATCTGTGAATTTTATTTACAGAATAGCACGCAAGTGCGCGTAACCGCTGGAATTTGGAGAACGAGTAAAGCTAAGAAGACAAGAAGTGTGTTATTTACACAAAACTAGCCCGAGTTTCCTCTGGCTCTGACACCAGAGTTAGACATTTTGACAGATAGATGGTTGAGCTATCAATTCACTGACCATAGTAGTTATATCATGTTAGTGACACATTCCAGGGGTAACGCTTTCTTGCGTTTTCTGCAAACCTTATACAAAATGTATATATTTAGTTACAATGTACACAAAACAAAAATTGTGTTCATTTTCAATTTTCATCATATTTTTATTTACAAAAGAAGTCAACAGGATTGGACATCAGGCATTGTCTATTTAAGTCTTTTTTCATTACAGCTACATCCGGTGGTGAACACATTATCTACATATTAACGAGATACACAAAGGGGAAGTAACTCCTCCAAAGCATATTGTATAATTGTTATGAGTAAAGATAGTGACCTTTCTAGTTAAGGACGTGTAATAAGTTTGCAAACAAGATTTATTTGACTAAGCTATATATATAGCTACACTTTTTTAATATATTATGGAAATATCAAAACATATGTATTTGGTAGATTAAGCTTTATATCCCAAAAAGATACAGGCCATTCAAAATCCATATGTCATACATTGGCCATCCACTAATGCAGTTCGAAAGCCAATTCCCGCAAATAGATATTTAGTTTAATGGTAGGGTCACACAAACTCTTGAACATATTATGACTAGTTGTACATTTTCAAAAGCAGGAGTTAACGAAAAAATAAACAAACAAAAAATAATTCTTAGAATATATTTATCATGTGTACTTCAATCAAAACAATTGTATGACATCACGTCAACAATGAAAAGACGTGACATGACAAATGTTGTGAGTTGAGGCAGGGACCTTCTTGAGGTTCGCATAACCCCCACGTAGGCTTTTAAGAAAACTCCCCTACTGGTGACATAAGTGTGGGGGAAATTACTCATTATGTGAGAGATCTTTATCCTACACATAACACAGGAAAGCGAGTAAACTACATCACACATCAACAGATATAAGAGAAAGCGTTAACCTATCAAATCTACTTCTAACTACCTATTATTTCCTAGCGCTCTGCTTGGCAAAACCTCGCTTCTGGCTTTAATGTTGAACGTTCGCCCAGGTGAGGAAGGCAATGGAAATGGGATCTGTTCCGAGGTCGGGACATACCTTAAAAATGGTAGTAGTTATTCCCTGCTTACATTGTCAGTATAATGTGACCGGGCGGAATGCTGTGCTGGGTGCCTTCGGCATGGTATTTTCCTTGAGATAGCACTATAAAGTCGGCAACAGATCCGCGCTGGAGGCAAGTGCTAGGTCACCAACATACCCTGTCTCCAGCATACATACACACATGCAAGCATACACAACACACATGCAGACACGTCCTTAAATGACCATAGATTAGGACGTTAAACAAAATAAAATTCAACTCAACTCATATCGATGAAAAAGATTCTGGCACGCATTGGTATGGCGGAAAGTCTGTCCTTTCAATAAAATTACGAGAAAAATCTCAAGCAAGCATCATCCCCTTACTCAACTACAATTACATCCTCAAGTTAGTTACTCACCAACAGACACTCTCGGCTATCTTCGTCCCTGGTATCCCATCTAACCCATTGTATAGATTGTCACTCATCCTCATCGAAACCCAACATAGTTTGTTTTTCTTGAAAACTATGTTCTTATGAGGAACTTAACGTTAAAAGAACTACTTACCATTAACTTTTATAGTCAATATTGAATTTCATAAATACATTGCTCAGGAAGCACCATTTAAATTCCGAGTCAGTGTAGTTGTTTTCATTTATTCCAAGTGTTATATATTATATTGGGAGGGTTTCGGCCACGTTGTGGAATAGCTTACCATCTGCTATAAGAAAGTCAACTACCCTGGCCAAATTCAGTAAGAACATCAAAACTCACCTCTTCACGTCTGCATTTTAGACACTTTGCACAGACGTCATGTACCCTTTATTGATTATCTTCTTGCTTAATGTATGATGGTGACTGTAAGCCATTTTTGTTTTACAGCTATAACTAATACTATTATCTATATGTTGTAAAGCGCTTTAGAGTACTTTTACAAATTATATAGGGCGCTATATTAATGTTGTATATTATTATTATTATTATTATCATATATAAATAGTATCTATGTAAGCTATAACTGTTTATGTTTATGTAAGTGTGCATTCTCGAAAATGATAATAAAAAAGTTAGAAGCTCTTTATCGTTTATTGTCTTGTTAAGCTGTTCTTTGGGATTAGCAGTTTCTACATATAGGGACTTAACGGCGTTTTTAAAATTTTCATGCCGGTATGAACGTAAATCGGTTAGAACCATATTGCATGAAGCCCGCCAGTGTTTCATGTTTAATATGGATGTAACCGATTTGCGTTCATACCGGCATGAAAATTAAAAAACACCGTTCAATCCATATATTTACATTTTTACTATAGAACAATTGCTTAATTGTATTTATTTGGTCTCAAACAGTTTATTCATTTACTGCGTTTTGTATATGCGTCGTCCTTTAAACGACGTTGGCGGAACATCCCTATTAAACTAAAATTGGCGCCAATAATTAACCGTAGTCATTTGAGCGTTTGACGAAGGGATAGTCTCCATGTAATTTAAAACGAAGCGACAAGACTCTCATTGAACAAGGTTAATATATGACTTCATAAGTAAACCACGTGTTATGTCACGAGTGTTTATGCTTTCATATTCAAATGAAATGCATTTTTGCTGGTAATGTTCATATATATAGGATCTTAAATGAGTTTTCATTTCATATGAGATTTTATGAAGCGAGCCTTGGCGAGCAAAAATTAAAAATTCGAGACGAGTGTCCCGCTAACATCCGGGGCAACAAGCGTGATTTATTTAAGTTAAAATAATTTATTTCATAATTGTTGTAAAATAAATAAAGTTTATATATCCTTGAATTTTCTCATTTCGAATCACTGCTATCTATATAGTTGGTTCCAGAGACCAAAATCTTTTCAGTTGCAAGACTGAAGGACAAACACCTCGATACTCTAGAGATCACGCTCACGTACGTTCTCTGCACCCCAGGAATATGTCGTAGCAAAATTGAAGGCATGCGGCTAGCTATTTGATCGGTATCAGGTAAAAGAACTGACAAATTGGTAGGCTGACACATGTCCTTAAAACATTATAGAGGAGCGATATCGGACTTCAAAGAAAGTCAAGTTTACCGTTATGCGACCGCGATATTGTTTTGATGTACATGAAAAGGATCAAACTAGTCTTTTTGTCTCATCCACAAGGTGGCGCGTTCCAAGCTTTCAATGTCGCTATGACATTTCCCAATAGTGTAGAGAGCGTAAGTGAGAGTTACCCCTGGAGTATCGAGGATGAATGGACAGTGGTACCTGTTTTTAACAGTTAGCATGCACCAAAGAATTTTCTCTGATATCAAAGGCGGTCAAATTTTACCTTTCTGGGATCAGGGGTATGCAGAATTCCGTAACAGGTTCAAGTGATTACGACTTATTTTTTTAACTAGATACACTGCAATCCATTATCTAGAACCATATTTTAACAGAAACGGTATGCAGTCCGTGTGTTTCATTGGAATTATCCAGCAAGGAAGCTAGCTTTAACGTTTTCCTGAACAGTTTCCAACCCAGGAACCACCTGTTTTTAATGGGAAGTAATGTTACTTATATTCAAATGACTGAAACAACATATTCAGCTTCAGTGATAAACGACGTTACTGCAGCATGAATAGTATTCCAAAAGCGCAGCGTAGAAATGAACCTGTACAGGAAAGTATAAATGTGTTATACTAAAATAACGAAGCCTTATTTCTTATGGAATATCTAGCATGACACTTAACCAACACGGAGTACGTGTTGACATCATCATTAGTATGACGTCATAATTGTAACGTATAGGGTACCACCGACCGGCCAGGGAAGAAGGCAGTTCAATAAGTTGAACAAGCATACACGATACAAACACTTATTTATATCATATGCTGAATTTTATTCAGCAGATTTTAATTTCTATGTTAATATGGCACTATTAAAGTCTAGATGCGTGATGAGAGACGTCAAAAAGGTAATTAATAAACACTAGAAACAGGAGGGGGATAAAATAGAACCTTGTGAACTTCTGCTTTTAATTTATATATCAATTCGAGAAAGAGAGTTTAAAACAAGTACTTACTGTTGCATATCGTTAGACGGTGAACAAGGGAAAAATCAATAGGGGCATTGTCATACAAACCTTGAATAAACCATCGTGCAGTTTCAATATACTATATCAAAGGGGTTTAATATCATAAGCTGTTAGCCTAGGTAATTTCGATACATGATGACAATCTGTTTCTATATCATCAATTATTTATGTGTGTATCATATTTTCTTATCTAGAAATGTTAATAATAATTAAAGGGCCTTATAAACCGCTTTATCACAATCTAGGTCGTCTCAAAGCAGTTCACACATTAGTATCCGTGGTTATAGGACCATTGCAACCAGCCAATATATTTCTCAACTCCCTGGGGAGCATACAGCCGGTGCTGCAATTTAGGTACACCCAACTAGAATTCAAAAATTCAAGCACTGCCCAACCACGTACTCATTTACAACTGAGTAGACTGGAACAGGCGGAGTAAAGTATCTTGTTCAAAGATACAAAACAATGCCGTGCCGTTACTCCAACCCGCAAACCTTTGGTCACGAGCCTTATTTCTAAGGGGATATCTAGCAAATTTGGTTAACTGTGTCTTTGCCTAGAAGGACGAAACAGCTGTATGATGCAGTGTTATTCATTTTTCACGAACTGTATTTTTTACTAAATTTTAAAGGTACAATGACCTGGGTGTATTACGTTCATCCTGTAATCTCGTTACGGAAACCTAGAGTGATACGCTTCTTCTTTTTTGTAAAGTTTTCCCTTCTTTCCTTCCAGTCTGACAGTCTTTCGAAAACAGATTTGTGATACAGAGAGTAACTACTAGCGTATGAAGATAGACCGGTGACAATACTAACAGCTTCCATGTTAAACATTTGTGTAACGTTTTCTTTTCGATAACTGAATATTTAAAAAAAAGTCTGAATGAATTTGTTGTCCATTTTCAACATCCTATCTCTGGTTAGAATTTGATTGAGGCTCGTTATAATATGTCATTTCTTCATAGCAGACGTGGATGCTTCTAATAAATATATTTCCATCCATTTACCTTCGGCGTGGATAATGTCTCTTTTTGTTGCTATTATTTAATATTTCGACTTTAAATAGTAATTCAAAATCTTCATCTTAGTCTTTTGCGCAAGAGACAGATAAATCGTTTGTCTTATCATAAGCTATTAAACCAGCGAAAGGATTTTCGTCCATATAAAGAATCAATATCTAGGTTTAGTGTAGTTTTAAAAATGGATAATATTTCACACACTATGGCACTGCCAATATACAACCCTTAATCTCTACCCAGAAGTGTCGACCCTTGCACTAGCAAGTGTAAGAAACGATAACTCTGGGTAGAGATTGATATATCAAATATATATTACAGACTGCAAAATACAAAGAGCAGGTGTTGACGTCATCATTAGTATGACGTCATAATTGTAATGTTAGATAACACTGACCGGTCATGGAAGACGGCTGTTCCATTAATTGATCCAGCATACATCATACAAACACTAATTTAAGCTATAAGCGGAATAAAATTCCGCATGCAAAAATTGATATTTCTATTGTATTTAAATACTCCGAAACTGGTAATATATAAGCATTGAACTGTGCAAGTATAGCACCATTATCGCCTATATCAATGGACGCAATTTTGCAGAAAAACAAGGCATACTGCGCTTATGTGAAATATAGGGATTGCCTGTAAAGCTGTGTCATTCATGTAGATGTAAATGCCATATCAACACAGATCAATAAGTATTGTCAAACAAAAATCTAGAGGGGGTGATGAAGTACGTCAGTCACGTTATTAATAAACATTAGAAATAAGAGGGGCATAAAATAGAACCTTGGTGTAGTCCTTCTTCTATTATACATTAGTTCGAAAAAGAGAGTTTAAAACAAGCACTTATCGACACAGTTCAATGATTAAGTATTGCCAACCAAAAGTCTAGATGCGTGATGAGAGACGTCAGAAAGGTAATTAATAAACACTAGAACCAGGAGGGACATACGATAAAACCTTGTGAATTTCTGCTTTCATTTTATATATCAGTTCGAGAAAGAGAGTTTAAAACAAGTACTTACTGCTGCAAATCGTTAGACGGTGAACAAGGGAAAAATGTATAAGGGCATTGTCATAAAAACCTTGAATACGCCATCGTGCAATCAAAGGGGTTTAAAATTATTCGCTATTAATAAGCCTAGGTAATTTCGATACAAGATGACAAATTGCTTCTATATCATCAATTATTTATGTGTATCATATTTTCTTATCTGGAAATGTTAATAATAATTTTAGGTTCTTATTTACCGCTTGATCACAATCTAGGTCGTCTCAAAGCAGTTCACACATTATTATCCGTGGTTATAGGACCTTTAATTCCAACCCGCCAATATATTTCTCAACTCCCTAGGGAGCATACAGCCGGTGCTGCAATTTAGGTGCTCATAGCTAGCATTTTTAAAACAAATCCAGCACTGCCCAACCACGTACTCATTTATAACTGAGTAGACTGGAACAAGCGGAGCAAAGTATCCTGTTCAAGGATACATCACAGTACCAGTGCGGGATTCGAACTCATTCGCGAGCCCGGCGTCCTACCACTAGACTATCGTATCGGCGGGTTCGTCATAATGCGGAAAACTGGAAATGTGTCTAGCCATACACGGTATCCTCAGTACACCGGATATAGGTAGTATCTCTTATTCAGAGAAGAACGCACAGCACAGCCGTTGTGAAAAATGTCCCAAATTACACCTAACTACTAGCCCGAGTTTCTTCTAGCCCTGACACCAGACTTAGACATTTTGATAGATATCAACACGTCTATATTTTAAGATATTAAGGCTGCATAGTTCTACTTCATTTTATGTTTGCACAGTTTAAATTTTAAGGAGAGGGGTTTTGTGGGCTTTGCCTGTTGCCCAATCCCTTTTCTATGTAAGACCTATATACTAAAATATTTTGAAATGAAATGTATATTTCACTTTATATTGTAAGATATGGACAAAAGATAATGCATCTGCTGGCTATTACACATATTAAACCTGAACCACCGCCTGAGTGACTGTAGGGAACTTTATTGATTTCCTATTTTGAAAACAGGTAATTATGAAACCCCTTGATAGTCTAGGAGCTTCAGCGTATATCGATAAAACTTAGTCATTATATCAGCATATTATGCAAACTTATACATATACTTATATAAATATGTAGTTTTTTCCTGATTCATGACCTTAATCTTTTATTCAGATTAAATTAAATTGGTCCCAATTCCGTTTGGGGCCTCGAAGTCCTCGTAAAGGACCTGCTTATTAGAAAGAAAGAAAGAAAGAAGTCATATGAACATTAGTTCTTCTTGATGGTGGTGTATATTTAAATTGGTCCTTAAGCTTTGACTTTGGCCAGCTCCTATCACAGAAGGAAGCAAATTCTGCAAATACAAGGGTGCAGCAACATGATATATTTTGTACAAAGGTATCATTCTATGCTTGTATCGCCTATGTGACAATGTTTCCCATCCCGTTTCAGTTATAATTGAGTTGGATGATGCAGATTGTGTTGCTCTAGTCACAAGTCTGCCTGCCTCAATATGAAGTTTTTCAAGTTCTTGACAATCTTGTTGAGTACAATTAGCCCAAATTATGTTTGCATATTCCAAGATGAAAAATACATAATTTCTAAAGAATTTCTATCCATCTTAAATCTTAAACCTCTAAGATTGCCTAGCCTTTTCCATGCTTTGGCAAGGATATTAGTGATGCAGTGGCGGATCCAGATGGGATTTTGGGGCTTTAGGACCCCCCACCATGAGAATTTTCTTTAAAAATCATGTTTTTCACCATTTTCCCCATTTTTTTCCCACATGGAAACCCCCCAACCTTGAAATTTGGAAAAAAAAACTTGATAGGTCTCTGGATCCACCACTGTGATGTGAACATGCCAATAACAGTTCTCATCTATAGTTACACCCAGATGTGTACAGTTGTATATGTTGTTTGGTTTGGAAATCGTCAACTTTCGGTAGAAAACAACATAAGTATCTTCAGACATGTGCATCATAACATCAAATCCAGCAATAGGTTTTGATAGTAATAATTAATTTTCTATTTTTATTTAAGTTGTTATATGTGTTTATGAAATTGTATTTCATTATTTTGCCTGATTTATTTGTTACATTGATTCTGTTCGTTTTGAAAGTACTCTACCAGATTGCATGTCATGAAATCTGTATAATTTATAATTGATTCAAATGCGGATCAATTTCTCAGTTTCCAAGTTTAATTTTCTAGGTAACACCCCTCCCCTCCATCACTCCCACCCCTCCCACCCCACAGTTCCTTCCTTCTCCAACCTATCTTTTCCCCTTTCCCCAAAAACATATACACTTTTTTTACAATATGTATTGAGGAGAGGACTCTATTAAGTTGTAATAACTTGTTGTCCGATCCATTTGTATATTTGTACAATAAAATATGTTTAAACTAAACTAAAAATATGTTGTTGATTAACTTGCTGTATATGAATATTGTTCGTAAATAGGGGAGGAGGATGAGCTGTTGTTCTCTTGTTATCACGAAATCATATGTTTTCCCCATCTCAGTTTTAAAATATATTTTATGATATCACAAATTCCATTTTATGATATCATTAAATCGGGCGATTTCATTAAATCAAATTAATGATATCATAAAATCGAATATATGATATCATAAAATCGAATATATGATATCATAAAATCGATTTTATGATATCACAAATTCTTTTAATGATAACATATATTCGAATTTATGAAATCATAAAATAGCCCGATTTAATGATATCATAAAATGGAATTTGTGATATCATAAACTCATTTTACACAAATTCGATGATATCACAAAATAATTAATGATATCATAAATTAGATTTTATGATATCACAAAATAATTAATGATATCATAAAATCAATTTAATGATATCACATTTTGTGAATAAATACCAAAACGGCGCCCCATACTATTTAAGTATTTTGCCTTTCGCTACCAGCGTTTTCGTGTGTAAAGGGAGGTAGCTCTTATTACAGAAAGAGAAATAAAAAGCAGACACCGAATCAGTTTTGGTTTTATATGCTGATTAATAAATTAGTATACAGACGTAAACTGGGTGTAATTTTTTTTATAGAAAATATCCTCATAATTTTATGCGTTAGTAGACGAACTTCTTTAAGATTCTATGGTCAAACCTGTTACTGTAATGAACGACAACTCTAGATCTGGGTAGATAGGCAAAAAACATAACCAAGGAACAGCGCCCTCTATATCTTTCGGAACAACTCAAAATTTTACATGTGAATACGTATACATTCTAGAGGATGCATACCAAACACGAATGGAATAATGGTGAGAAATCCCTGTCACTTGTGTCAAAAATGTAATATTATGAGAGGTTTGACTCACCTGTGGATAATTTACGAGTGCTGAGTGTTTTCTTTGTTTTAAGAGAACGTTGTTTCCTACAGGTAACGGTATTTTGTGAAACGAGTTGTCCGGTGACGAATCAAAAATTTGTGTGAAATGTGTCTCGCTGATAAATCCGACAGGTGAACAGCTGACCGGGGACATTTATAAGATTTCCTCTCGTAACTCAAATCAGCACTTTGAACTGCTGTTGTAATGGAACCCTACGCATAGGCGCTTATGTTTATTATTCATTTAAAATGACTTTAATATGAAGGTATCTGCATCCGATTACAAGGGAGGGGCGGGGCCAATGTGTTTACTCGAAGATGACTTATGAGAGCTTATCCATTATAATCGTTCATCATAGCAAAACGCGTTACTTATTCTATTCTGAAAGTGGGATCTCTTCTAAAATATCAACCGTTTGACAGGTTTAGTGTTCAGTGTAATTTCTGAGGGATCTTCATTCCCCTCTCTCCAATCTTAAAATTAAGCCTACAGCACCTGCTAGCACGAGTTTCCTCTGGCCCTAACACCAGACTTAGACATTTTGACATATAACGTTAGATGTCTGGTGTGGGGCCAGAGGGCACTGCTATATGAAAACATAGAATGTTTGGTATCAGAGAGTTATGATGTGCTGATAACAAAAATCTACTATGACACAACACATACCTCATGCACAATAATTACATCGATATATATGGATTCTTTATTGATCCAAATCAGCTCTTATTATCACCAACAGCTAATAAATTCCATCAGTAGAGTCCTCGAATTTCCCACCTGAGCGAACACCATTTTTGTAGGTCATGGGGTGACTAAGCAACAAACCGTACTGATACGGACTGAAAACTGAATATTTTATTCTTGTTTAGAAGATTTCTGGACCGCATCTTTTTGTTGATTAGTCACTCCCCGATATCAAACGGTGTCAGAAAATTCCACGTTTTCATACAGCAGTGCGCTCTCGTCCCACACCAGACATTTATATATGTCAAAATGTCTAAGTCTGGTGTTAAAACCTGGGCTAAGCACCTGCACAGTGAGTTAGTCTGCCCAAAAGACATTTTACCTTGAAACAAAGTGCACCTCAGCCTTTGTTAAATATGATTTTGTGTCTATAGCTACTATACATGGCCTTAGGGTTAGAGGGATACCACAATTTGACTAAGGCTACTAAATGTTTCAGGTGGCAGACCTTGGTCTTCTGCACTAGCACTGTGCTAAATGTAATATATACATCTATGCCTACAAACAGAATTTATTTATTTCAAACCATATATACTAATGTCTCATAAAATTTTAAGCTAACATTAATTATCATAGCCTTAAGGCCATAACACCCAAAATTTTACAATCTCTGTAAATGACTTAATTTCACTGACTGTATTTCATTATGATTCTTTTTACTCCTGCAGACAACCAGGAATGTTTGCAAGAGTATGGAAGGAAGCTGCACACTGAACAAATGATGCAATAGAATGGCAGAAATAAAATCTATCTTTTCTGTATCCGGCAGACGTTCATCAGGGGAGATCACTCAGGTTCACAAACCCACTAGTCAAAAGTCACCATTGAGCGAAACTAGTCCCATACATAAGAATGGGACTACAGATGTTACTCACTTTTTTGGTAGCCTTCCAAACCCAACCAATGTGTTGGAACAGTTGAATCATCAAGACGCTGCAGCTTACCAACGTGTTGGGTCGACCTTCCAGCATGGTGGATCAGTGTACCAGCGTAGTGTATCTTGTTCCGTCCTTGAGAACACCAAGGGCTGGGCAACAGACACGAAAATTACCAAGGAACAAACTGCGGTTTCCAGCTCACAGCAAGAACAAACACAAGTCACAGATACCTCAATGCAGGGGCATTCACAAGTAATTAACTCCTGCATGCAGGGACAAACACAAAATACGAAGTGTAGTTCACAAAGCCAAACACAAACATCATGTTCATGTCCACCGAGTACGAACTGCAGTTTGCAAGGACAAACAGATTCATTAAAGAGAAATGGCCTTCAGGAACATTGTGATTGCAAACCACAGACAAATGATGATGTGAAAAGAACAACTAAATCACAGCCCTGCCATCAACAAAATGTGACTTTTGAAACAGATATCATAGAAAAAGATGAAAAAGACTTAACATTGAACCTTAACAATGGCAGTAGTGAACCAGACACTGATAAACCTGAAGGAAAATTAACATTAACCTTGAATCATTGTGATAGTGTGTCGAGTAGTATGAGTAATACATCGGAGGGGGATAAAATCCCTAAAAGTCCGGCTGGGGTTGAAGAACAGGTGTGTGGCAAGCCACCGCTACCTGGGGGCAAGGTCAAGACAAAGTCGACGGTCTCCGGGAAACAATCATGGCTGCTGAGATTGTTTGAGTCAAAATTGTTTGATATGTCTATTGCTGTTTCTTATTTGTTCAACTCAAAAGAGCCAGGTGTTCAAACCTACCTAGGTAAGTTCTGCTGGCAATATACCAAGTTACGGTGACTGCTTTGTGCCATTTCAGTCTTTCCTCTTTTTGCCCCCAAAAATATGCAAATTAACAACCTTACTTCTCTTATTTTGTGTTTTTGCCCCCCCAAAAAACAAGATTTAACAGACATTACGTCTCATTTTTTAGTCCTCTCCCCCCCCAAAAAAAGAGAGAGATTATTTTTTAAGTGTTATACTATATCTCGTCTTTTTGGGGTGAAAAGAGGAAATTACCAAATGGCACTATTCAGCCACCATACCAAATTGTCTTGATTGTCATTAGAGCTACACATTTGTAGTTATTATATAAGGGTTAAAGAAGATTTTCTATAAAAGTGAAAATAATCTCTATTTTTAAAAACAAAACTAGAATTCATTTCTGTCTGTTCTCGACCTTTATACATTTGTCAAATTTATTGCCCATTATTGCCATGTTAGCTTAAATTTATGCACTCAAGGTCTGGTAGCTAGGTTTACCTTGGACCGAGCTCAAGGACGACCAAGATTATGATTGGTTTTAATCATAAGCCAGCTGACATATATGCATACTAATATACATATTATTATTTCGCAAGTAAAATCCATTCATTTTTGACCAATGTTAATTTCGTCCTTTACTGTTTAATTTAATGCACATTATCATGATAAATTTAATCTCATTGTTTTGGAGAAAAGAGCGAAAGACAAACTGTTTAGAACACCTCCCAATGCAATTTCCTCATGGTGTTATTTTCCCAAATTCTTTTGAAGAAAGTTAAAGTTACAGTTAGCGTAAGACAAGTTTCTCTGGCCCGACATAAGGCCACTTGCAGACAGGTTGGTTAAATAATGATATGTATCTATACAATGTATGATCACTGTCAAGTTAGATATTGATTGCAGTTGCATTATTTCAAGTAATCATAAAATATATGTGTTCACAGTTTTGAACAAAAAGATATTTAATATTGTTTAAAGTTTGGAGTTTACAGCTGGAACCTGATCATCATAGAAATAATTGTAAAAATGATTTTTTTTCATTCAGGTTTGTAGAATTTCATATTTTGAATACTAGCACTATATACCGGTACATGCACATTTTGAAATTTTTTACTTTTCCAATGTTAACCTAGCTATATGTATATTTTTCATATTGTAATATGAAAATTTTCACCAGAACATTTTTAGCTCACCTGGACTATGCCATGGTGCGTTGTCCGTCGTCCATCCGTAGCATCCGTCTGTCCGGCGTCAACTTTTTACTTTAAACAACTTCTTCTCAGTTACCAAAAGGCCTAGGATGATGATATTTGGCCAGTAGCATACTGGAATCAAGGGCTACCAAGTTTGTTCAAATAAATGACCTTGACCCACTTTCAAGGTCACAGGGGTCAAATATATTAAAATCTTCAAACAACTTCTTCTCAACAACCAAAAAGCCCAGAGTACTTATATTGGGCCTGTAGCATGCTGGTTTTGTTTAAGGATCAGTTTTCTTTTTTATATTTGATTTTTTTATATATATATTAGTTAGTTTAAATCGTTCACCCCTGAAATTTCATAATGAATTATTCCAACCTTTGAATTGGAAGAGTTCAAATTTAAATGTGTCTTCAGGGGAAAATAGGTTAAACCATATTTCATCCGGGTCAAATAACTCATTCACCCCTGAACACACGTTTGAACTCTTCCAATTCAAAGGTTTAATTGAAAGAGTTCATTATGAAACTTCAGGGGTGAATGAGTTAAACATGTACATGAACAATTAAAAGAGACTTTACATTTGATGGAAAAACTATGTTGCAGGTAATCGTATGTTCAGTTTTGATGAGGCTGACGTGGACTTCTACTTGCCACAGATTCTCAACATGTACATACACATGCACGATGTAGCTGAGGCCCTCCATCCTTACATCATTCACAGGTGGGTGTATTGTTAGTGTAGCAGTGGCAGATATACCCTCATAATTGACACTTCTCATAGAAAGGATACAAAGGCACAGCCACATCAAAAGAAAACATTAACAATAATTTGTTATGTTATAACTCATTCACCCCCTGAAGACACTTGTAAACTCTTCCAATTCAAAGGTTGGAATAGTTCATTATGAAATTTCATGGGTGAATGAGTTATAACTGAATCTCATGTATGCTTGCCACATTGATATGTGCATTGATTTATAGTAAGCCAATAAATTGTGTCCAATGATTATTCTACCTCTAAGTCTTTTTCCAAAGAGGCATGTGCCTGTTGATTTGGGAAAATATCATCCACAAAAAGCATGAATTTGGAAAAAAATAAGTGATTTTTGCATTGATTCTTGGGAAAACGTCAGAAATTATGCAGGGGAAGGGCCCTTATTAAGACCCAAAATTGACCTAAAAAACTTACTGCTATCTATATACTTGAATTATAAACGTCATACTGACTTACCTCCCCTTTTGTCTTATAATGTTTGACAGGTGTCGATACAACGTGGAATTTTCACTGAGAACGGCCTGGATCCTGGGAGCATTTTCAGCAGATGTATTAAAACCTTCATGGAAAAACGCTCAGGGTGTCAAACTAAAAAATATGATACTTAACGAAGAATTAAGGTAATTTTATTACTGATCAATTCTGTAAAACTTCCACATTTTGGTAACATAATAAATATATAAAGACACTTTCCATTAGTTGTGAGAGTATTTTTGTCACTCATGAAATTGATAAATTGATTACATTTTGTCACACCAATACCTAAAGTCTGATCTCTGTGCAATACAAGTATTTTTAAATTAGCTCTTTTTTGAGATTTTAGTCTTTACATTTTTTGTGACAATTTGCAATTTTTATCTTTTTACAATACATGAAATTAAATCTTGTAGGCCTCCAAAACCCCACAGTCATATTAAGACTCTGTCCGGCCTTCCTAGTCCAACTGTCCCCCCGAGCCAGCTGTACCCTTCGTCTACTCCAGCATCGACAGGCAAACAGAAAACACATCACCGCTCGCGATCAGATGCTACAGGTAGCTATGTACAATATTCTTACGTTTGAGAAGCAGGTATTGCATTAAATCAGTGGACAGTGCACTTGCCTTTCACCAAGGCGACCAGGGTTTGATTCCCTGATCAGACGTGAAAAGGTTGGGGTCACCTGCCCGACCACATGGGTTTTCTCCAAGCACTCCGGTTTCCTCCCACATTTAGACCCTCTGCCTGCTAACATCCGGGCCAACAAGAGTGATTAATATAATTAAGTTGAAATAGATTGTTTCATATTTGTAGTAAAACAAATAAAGTTTATATAAAAGATTTGACTTGCAATCTCAAACCTCTGTGTTATTTGACTTTTGACCTCTAAACTTAATCTATTTCCTGAACCTTTTTTCAATGAGAGACTCCCTTTATATTTTGTTGAAAATGGACAGAACCAGTTACCTTCCAGATTTGACATCGACCCTTTCTTACGTGCATAATTGATTAAGCTCTGATTTAATCCTTCACAGGGTATGAATTCTTCAATTTCCTATATTGTTAACCCTTTAACCACTGTAGACCATAATGGACTCATCTAGGTGAATGATGGGTACATTCTTCTCAAGTTACTTAGGGGTGAAAGGGTTAACCCTCCTCCCCACCACCAGCATGAGATATGGCTTCTTCTGATATCCCAAAGGAACTTGCTGTAACACATTTCCATCCTTATTTTGGATTAACAACCCTTATGGAAGCTTCACAGAGCTTGAATTATAAACAAAAACTTGATTAGACAACAGACAGGACCTAGACATCTTTTTAGACATTGACAGCTATGCTGCCAGATAACGCCCTGCCACAATTTCCTGTTCCTGAGTAACTCTAACAAATAGTTTCTGTGGTTCTCAAAACCTACATTGTACTCCCTGCAGATTTTTATCAAAAAAAGATTTCCTTTTGAAGATGTTTTAGATCAAAAGGAGATCTCCTTTGTTGAGGTTTCGGATATATAACAAGGAGATATCTTTTTGTACAGGTTTTAGTTGATGATCTCTATATGTGTGTATTTTTTTGAAGTCAGAAGACAGTTTCAGATTTGACCTTTAACCCCAATCTCTGTGTTTTGTGAGAGCTATTGTATGTAGAATAATCACCTTTGACCTCTAACCCTATGTCTTTATTAGGTATTTACATGAAGAGTAGTCAGAGCAGTTCGACCTCTAGCCTTATGGAAACTCCAGGCGACCTGTCTAGTGGCCAAGCCTTCCAAAATGGCTGTACATGTCATCAAAGCTCCGAGGCTATTGTCAACGACCTAACAGGCCGGGAGACCCTGTGTCATTGCGGGGTTAGTATTTCCTAACACAAATGTTTGAAAAGATCCCTTATTGAAAAAGTGACCCCAAGCAAATCAGTAGAATTCTTGTAGGTAAATATATCAAGAAAATTATGAGGTGGTACTTAAAATTATTTATTTTTTATTAAAAACAAGGCTCAAGAACTGAGTTATATATTTTTTGTAATGCGATTTGCCTTGATCAAAAAGTATCTAAAATACAAATAATCTTTATTTAGGTTGTCTAGGAACAATTTTTTTAATCACTATTTAACTCATTCGCCCCTGAAGAAACATTTGAACTCTTCCAATTCAAAGGTTGGAATAGTTCATTATGAAATTTCAGGGGTCAATGAGTTATTAAGGTCAACATCATAATGATTGAGTGATTTTATAGAGTTTTGTCACAGGCTTCAATTCATTGTAAATACTATTCAAGTATATTTTTTTGTATAATTTCTAGTATTTTTGGGTATGTCTGCACAGTGAACCACATCAATCTTTACTGACAGATTCAAACAATCCGTACACTTCTTTAGAATTTGATAAAACTTGATTGTAATTTTAGTACTGTTAGTGTATTACGATACAGGCAAACAAAACAATTTGATACGATACATAAGAAAGTATCGCGACTACGCCACAATACAATATATCGTTTCAGGCCTACAGTTCAGTAAAACTCAGCGTTTTTTTTCATGAGAAGACTAGTTAGGGATTGTATTCACAAAATGAACAAAAGGATTCATACTTGTCGACTCTCCCATTTTAGTAGGGGGGGACTCCCGATTTTGGACCCTTAGGATATTTATTAAATTCAGTGTTTTCAATCAGTTAATTAGCTTAAATATTCCTATATATACTAATATCTAATGATTTCATCTGAAAAAAACCCACTCACAACATGTCATTTTAAAGGGTTATTTTGTCTCTAAGGGGTGTATATAGACATTTTGTTTAATTTTGAACATGCCAAAATATCCCCATGAAAATTTCATGAAGTTGGAAAGTAATTAATATAAGATGATGCAACTTTGCGTACAAAATATGTAGACTAACAAATACAAGTAATCAACATATAAGTAGGCATGTAAATTCATGAAACTGTTGAACTGTATTCAAAGTGTGTGATTGTGTGTTGTAGGCACCTCGTTTGGCGCCAGAACTGGAGTTTGTGAATGCATTGATGAACATCGGATCAAAGCTACAGATGCTTCTCACCAAGGAAGCGCGAAGTATGTATACTGTATGTTGGGTCATTTTTGCGGCAGTGTTATTTTTCGTGTTTTTTTTGGAAGGATTCAACCCAAAATTCAACACTGCAGCAAAATGTCAAAATCAAGGCATCATTGTATTAAGATCTACTGTTTGAGACTCAATACAGAGAGTAGTCAAAATTCAGAGCTTTGTTGCGGTACTTATCCTTTGATTAACCCAGTGATCTCATGAGCCATCACATAAACTCTTCACTCAAAAAAGGAAATGGGCTTATTGCAAAACTATGCTATAGGATTTAATAGCATTTCTGTTGAACTGTATTTGACGTGAGTGGGCTTATTACCAGGCATGGGCTCATTGCCAGATAAAACCAGTAAATTTTACATTTATCCTGTTTTTGCTGTGACGATGGTCACGTTTTTTCTTATTTTGTTTTATCAGTAATCAAATGAATTTACAACTTTATTAAGCTTTTCCTTTTTTGTTGTCATGGCGATGAATTTAACTTGTGTTTCAGCTTCACGATTAATCGCAGAACTTGCCATGTTGAATCTGAACTTACCAGCGAGGATCTGGCTTCCGTCAGCCGACAATTGTAACCATCATATTGTCCGAATACCACACACCCAGGCCATAGTGCTTAACTCAAAGGAAAAGGTAGGAATCATAACGCCTTGATGTGTTATATTAACTCATTTACCCCTGAAATTTCATAATGTACTATTCCAACCTTTGAATTGGAAGAGTCCAAATTTGTCTTCAGGGTGAATGATCCCTGTCCCGCTGCATTATGCTTTCCTATATACAGTAACTTCCCCTTCACTTAGCATAGTTTGGCCCCAACACTTCCGTTGTCAAATTATAGCTCAATTGGTTAGGGTGATAGTACATCAATCTGAAGTCTAGGGATCGAACGAATCCTGGTCAAGTTCAGAACACTTTTATTGATTATATTTTATTTTTTCTTATCTTTCGTATTTGTCATAAAAGTCCCACAAGGTATGGTTTTCTTTTCAGAAATGATTATAAATCGAAGCAGTTATCGAATATCATGCTAGAAAAAACAGTCTCCAACACTTAGTTACAGTTTTTGGCAGTGGTACAGGGATCCTTAAGAAAACGATTTTTCTTATGACAATATACATGATAACATCTGCCGTTGCTCTACTTGTTATATTTATACACCCCGAAACAAAGATACTCTTCCTAAATCGTTTCTTGGATTCTTTGTAACTTAATTGACATGGTGAAAGTACATCATACGTAGATGTGCATGAGGAAAGGAATTTGCAATTGGACTGTTATCCTAGAGTTATGTCCCTTGAAAACTTTGAATTTCTGCTCCAGAAACCTTGTAAGCATAACTCCTCCTTCACTGTTTGTTCGAATTGTTTGTAACCTGGCACAATGTACATCTAATGTAGATGTGTGTGAAGAAAAGGTTAGATAGCTTCTTAGCAATGTAGGCCTATTTGGTTTCTTGCATTAACATACCTACTTGTATTATAAATGAAAAATGAAGACAGCTAAGGAATAATTAAAGATTTTAAGCAATCTCCAAACTTCATACATGTATGTACTAAAATTCTCACCTGGTTGGATTATAATTAATTCCCACACTGCGTTACTGATGAAAAAGGAAATCTTGTCAATGTTTTAAACATTTTTTTAGCAGCAGATGAAATATGTACCATTTCGTATTGCAGGCTCCCTATCTACTCTATGTCGAGACACTAGAAGTTGAGAACGCCCATACCTGCCAAGTCCCGGGCAAGATCCTGGAGAATACTCTACGATTTACGCGGTCTGAGGAAGACTTAAGTGCTATATGTACGAGAGCTAACGGAGGCGGTAACTCCCCCTTTTCCGAGTTTTATGTGTACGGGAATATGGGCGAGTTTGATGATGCCGAGTGCTGGTCACAGGAAGACGATGACATCCTTCAGGTTCGTATTTACAAAGCCTTTTTGTACCAAGTGCTATTTTAAGGTTCCTTTTATGAAGCCTTTTTTGTCCAGCAATTTTTAAGGTTTGTTTTTCTGAAGCCTATTGTATAGAAATTGTTAAGGTTTGTATTTTCAAAGCCTTTTGTACAGAAATGTTTAATGTTCCTGTTTACAAGCCTTTTTGTACTGAAATTTTTGAGGTTTGTATTATGAAACCTTTTTGTGCCGAAAGTTTAAAGGTTTGTATTTACGAAGCTTTTTTGTAACAAATTTTTAAGGTTTGTATTTACGAAGCTTTTTTGTACCAAAATCTACAATGTTTTATGATGTTTCATGAGGTACTTATTCCTATTCTGTTTCTGCAAAGTTTGAAATAAGTTCGAATTTATGAAAAGTTTTCAATATTAGAACTGTATTATGCATTCTTTTCAATCAAAGATGACTTGGAAATATAGGGTTTGTTATTGTTAATAAGTATGATAAATTATAAAAAGAAAAACAATTGGGGAGAAACTGGAAGAATTGGGAATCAAGTGCATGTTTTTTGAGGAAGTAATGATAGAGGTATTTATTTCCAATATTGAAATTTTGTCGAAAAGTCGAAAACTCTGGCTAAATTCAAGAAGGATATAAAGACCCAGCTTTTTACGTCCGCATTTTGAGCTCTTTTGCGCAGACGTCATAAACACACCACCCTATATATCTATATGCATATATATCTGCATACGGTAATAAACGTTTTTCCATTTGATATAAAATGTATTTTTATCTTCTATATATTTATAACTTGTCACTGTAGGAATACTATTATTTAAGTACTTTTTAAAGCTCTTTAGAGTGATTTTGAAAATTATAGAGAGCGCTATACAAACGTATATATGTATTATATATGGGGCAAAGAAGTAATTCCAACAGTGTTGGAATTACTTCTTTGCCCCATATAATATTTTAAGTAATTTGTATCCTACCGACACACCTCCATTAGGATCCAGTGTTATATGGGATTTTACCGTCTATATTACTTCTTTGACCCATATGTATTATATATATATATTGTTTTGTTTTAGATGCAGTTTACAGGTCGGTACAGGTCCAGTGACACACTATCACAGTTCTCTATAGACAGTTCCACCAGTGCGGACAGCAAGGAGCCTGTATACATTGCTGCGGGGGATATACGGAGACGTCTTTCCGAAAACATTTCTGCCCCGAAGGGCAAGTTTGAGGTTGGTCATAGTGTGTCTCGTCAGTCGTTGAAGCGTAAAATAATTGATCATAGTTTATCACTGTTGTATTGAACTTGTAGATTCACCTTACTACAAGATCGCTGAAATAACAAATTCTATGAAAAAATCATTCAAGTATAAAAAAAATAGCATGCCTACATTTATTTTATTACAGTGACATTTATCACAGCTGGGCATCATAGGTAAAGACTTGTAACATTATTCACAGTGACAACATTTGTCATAGTCAACGAAAGATGAAATGATGTTCATGGAATGATCAAAATGAGTCCCGAATAATGTTTAAATGTTTAAATACTGTTTCTACACAGGATATCATCATTAATCAGCTGTCCTTTGAATTTGACAATGTGATTTTTTTAACAGCATTTCAACTTTTTTTTTTCTATTTAAGATTTTTGACACCATGAATATTTTTTCTTTCTATTTTGATGATGTGAATTAACCTTGTGGTAATGACATTTCAACTTAAATTTTCTGTTAATGATTTTTGGAACTGTAACTTTGACAGCGCGACCCTGATGATCCTTCGGCAGCTGCACTTAAGGAGCCATGGGAGGAAAAGGAGAGGAGGATCCGGGAGAGTTCGCCGTACGGTCACTTACCTAACTGGAGGCTGCTGTCCGTCATCATCAAGTGTGGCGATGACCTCCGACAGGAACTCCTAGTTTATCAAGTTCTTAAACAGCTTAAGGTGAGTACAGTATTGAAGGTCAGTGTAAGTAATAGGAAAAATAAAATATCACTGCTATATAAGGTCACTTTGATGTAAGTAGGTCAATGTGCAATACAGAACGTTGTATTTCATGGTCTGAAAATTGCTTGTAATACTATAACAAGATTCAACAGGTATGTGATCAATTGAATTTATATGTTTATTGTGCTGTTTACCTATATTCGCTGTAATGATAAATGATAAACCTCTGTGAATCTCTTGCCTAGATAATAGGTGATTAAATTGAATTGCCCCTTCTCCCTTTAAAAATTAAAAAAAACACAGGTTTGAGCTAGGATATCACTTGATTCCCATTAAGAAATCAATGTACAGGATTACCGAAACTGACTTTGATTTAAATGTTTACAGACAATATGGGAACAAGAGCATGTGCCGTTATGGGTCCTTCCGTATCGCATCCTGGTCACAGCCATGGACTCGGGGATGATCCAGCCCATCACTAATGCAGTGTCCCTCCATCAGATCAAGAAGCATGGCAAGGTGTCACTTCGAGACTACTTCATCCGCGAGTTCGGTCCACCGAACAGCGAAGAGTTCCTGACTGCCCAGAAAAACTTTGTCCAGAGTTGTGCTGGCTATTGTCTCCTGTGTTATCTCATACAGGTCAAAGATAGGTGAGCGATCGGGACACTCTCGGTGTTAATTCAGATAGGCCAATATGAATGTTTTCCATCTAGAAAATGGTTGGGGCTTTCTGTCAAACTATTTTGAGTTATTGGGGACCAATCACGACTTATGACAGAAATTCAGTAATAGTTTCCAATTGACTATATCCATCTTTGTTCCCACAAAAACGGCTGCTTTGCCAATTGGTGACACAGTTTTATAAAATGCGTTTTGAACTGAAAGAGATCAGAGTGATAATTTTTGTTGTTTTAATGTGATAAAAATGCAGGGAATAAAATAAAATGTAAGGGATTAAAATGCATCTTCTCAAAACCTATGATTGTATGCAACACATGTACTATTCATTAAAAACTTAAAATTATATCTTCACTTCGCTCCCGGTTACTGATATGTCGGGAGTGATGTGTGTCGTGTGACATATCAGTAAACGGGAGTGATGTGTGTCGTGTGACATGTCAGTAAACAGGAGTGATGTGTGTCTTGTGACATGTCAGTAAACGGGAGTGATGTGTGTCGTGTGACATGTCAGTAAACGGGAGTAATGTGTGTCGTGTAACATGTCTGTAAACGGGAGTGATGTGTGTCGTGTGACATGTCGGTAAACGGGAGCGATGTGTGTCGTGTGACATGTCCGTAAACTGGAGTGATGTGTGTCGTGTGCCATGTCAGTAAACGGGAGTTATGTGTGTCGTGTGCCATGTCAGTAAACGGGAGTAATGTGTGTCTTGTGACATGTCTGTAAACAGGAGTGATGTGTGTCGTGTGCCATGTCAGTAAACGGGAGTAATGTGTGTCGTGTGACATGCAAGTAATCGGGAGTGATGTGTGTTGTGTGACATGTCAGTAAACGGAAGTGATGTGTGTCGTGTGACTTGTCCATAAACGGGAGTGATGTGTGTCGTGTGACATGTCGGTAAATTACTGCACATCATAGAAATGTTTAATCGGAACTGTGTTGCATATCTACATAAATATTGCATGTTTACTTGCCAACCCTACTCCAACAGAGCTAGAGGTTTTACACGGCAAGATATTTTTGACAGGCGCCGACACAGTCAGCAAAATCATATCCGATAGAAAAAAGGCTGACCAGCGGCCTCTTATGTTATAGGAGTATTGCCAACCCTATCTATTTTAGGAGGGAGTACCACGATTTTGGACCCTTAATTTTGATATTTCCAACCAGTAAATATGTTATTGATCCCTTTATTCTAATTATAAGATCTAATGATTTCATCCGAAAGATTAACTGAAACTGTGCCATTTTAAAGAGTTGTTTTTTTCCCTAGGGGGAATATACAAACATGTTATTTATAATTTTTATTTTTGAGCATACAGAGCCTTCCCCATGGTTATTTCAAAAGGTTGACAAATTCAAAAGATGCCTATCAATTCTTAAATGACAATTTATTGTATCTGCCTAGTACACTTAGGAAGCTGTAATTACTGAAAATATGTTTCTATTCTTTCCTACAGACACAATGGAAATATTCTGCTCGACTCCCACGGACACATAATTCACATAGATTTTGGGTTCATCCTTTCAACGTCACCTGGAAAAAACCTTGGTTTTGAAAACTCACCGTTTAAACTCACTCATGAATTTGTGGAGGTAAGAGTTCCCTCCCCTTTACTGTTCATGGGCATTTTCTGAATGTTTGTTTATGTGTAAACCAACCGGTTTGTCTACTTTTTAAATGTAATATTTCAGGGGTAAAAGCTGATGGACCTGAAAATTGTGTTAATGCAGGCCTTCATGGAAGTCTTTCTTAGCTCATTCACCCTCTGAAATTTCATAATGAACTATTCCAACCTTTGATTATTGGAAAGGTTCAAATTTGTTTTAAGGGGGTATGAGTTAAATCTTGCCATAAAACATCAAATCACTAGGTTCGTCCCTATTTCATAAACGAACAACTCTGCTCCAATTGGTCAAACCGTTTAGAATGTGATTAACAAAAACAGCCCAGAAGGTTTAGAGCAATGATACTTGGGCTATGATACTTGGATATGAAATGTAGACCAGGGCCTGGTTGTGTAATTTATTTACCAACATATTAATATATGCATGCATATGGAGGCAATGTAGTTTAGTGGTAGGATGCCGGCTCATGACTGAAGGGTTGCGGGTTCGAGTCACGGCACAGCACTGTGTTGTATCTTTGAGCAAGACACTTATAATTCCGCTTGTTCCAGCCTACTCAGCTGTAAATGAGTATGTGGTTGGGCAGTGTTAGAATTGTTGAATGCTAGCTGTGAGCATCGAAATGGCAGCATCGTCTGTATGCTCCCCAGGGAGTTGAGAAAGATATTGGCTGGTTGCAAAGGCCGTATAACCACGGATTATAATTGGTGAACTGCTTTAAGACGACCACCGAACTAGGTTGTGATAAAGCGGTATACAAGAACCTCAAATTATTATTATTATACAATAAACTTAACACATTATCAAAAGTTGAATTGAAGCATTGGAAACCCTTTTGCAGGTGATGGGAGGTCTTGGAAGTGATATGTTTGAATACTTCAAGATCCTCATCCTCCAGGGCCTGGTGGCATCTCGGAAACATATGGACAAGATCATCCTGCTGGTGGAGATCATGCAGACAGGTGAGAGGTTTAACTAGGCCAAGGTAGCACTCCAGACAGGTTAGAGGTTTAACTAGGTCAAGGTAGCACTCCAGACAGGTGAGAGGTTTAACTAGGTCAAGGTAGCACTCCAGACAGGTGAGAAGTTTAACTAGGCCAAGGTAGCACTCCAGACAAGTTAGAGGTTTAACTAGGTCAAGGTAGCACTCCAGACAGGTGAGAGGTTTAACTAGGTCAAGGTAGCACTCCAGACAGGTGAGAATTTAAGTAGGTCAAGGTAGCACTCCAGACAGGTGAGAGGTTTAACTAGGTCAAGGTAGCACTCCAGACAGGTGAGAGGTTTGACTAGGTCAAGGTAGCACTCCAGAAAGGTGAGAGGTGTAACTAGGTCAAGGTAGCACTCCAGACAGGTTAGAGGTGTAACTAGGTCAAGGTAGCACTCCAGACAGTTTAGAGGTTTAACTAGGTCAAGGTAGCACTCCAGACAGGTTAAAGGTTTAACTAGGTCAAGGTAGCACTCCAGACAGGTGAGATGTTTAACTAGGTCAAGGTAGCACTCCAGACAGGTGAGAGGTTTAATTAGGTCAAGTTAGCACTCCAGACAGGTGAGAGGTTTAATTAGGTCAAGGTAGCACTCCAGACAGGTGAGAGGTTTAACTAGGTCAAGGTAGCACTCCAGACAGGTGAGAGGTGTAACTAGGTCAAGGTAGCAATCCAGACAGGTTTGATGTTTTACTAGGTCAAGGTAGCACTCCAGACAGGTGAGAGGTTTAATTAGGTCAAGGTAGCACTCCAGACAGGTGAGAGGTTTAACTAGGTCAAGGTAGCACTCTGTGATACAAATATTATAAAAACACTGGTTTTCTTTAAAATATTTCTGCACCACATGATAAAATTGTGGATGTTCATTGACTCATTCCTGTGAAATCAGATATATTTTTAGTTCAAAATGCAGGTTCACAGCTGCCTTGTTCAAGAACTGTAAAGTGCTTTTTATTTCGTGGGGGTTTGTATTTCGCTTTATTCACGATTTACTTTCAAAGCTTGAATTCAAAACCCCATTGAGAATTTAGATTATAGGTCTGCCATATGTGTTACTATCAATATTATGAACGTACGTTTACCAAGGCACTCATACTTTCTTTTGTGTAAACAAAAAATACACAGGGTTTTGTTTTCGTCATATTTTATTTGCACATGGTTTTGTTTTCTTTAGTCAATTCCCACATTTTATTTTACAAGATATTTAATGAATACATTTTAAATTTCAACACAAATGACAATGTGAATGACCAAATTGATTATGCACACACTGACACACTGAACTTAATTTTCTGCACAGGTAAGTAGTTTGACTAGGGGGCCTGTCCGTTTATGCGGAACAACCGGTTTTTCCGATTATAAATGTAACAATTTCGGGTTTAAGTTCTGGCGGACCTGCAAATGTTCATGCAGGCCTTGCAAGGCTTTGTCAAGGCTCGCCTGAAACAGCATCAGATTACTAGGTCCAATCTTATTTAATAAACGAACATCTGTGATCTGACTGGTTTACTCGTTTAAACGAAAACAGCCAAGGCACAGCTGATTTGATTATTCAGAATCGGTGTTAGGCAAATTTAAGACCCTGCAAATAAGTTCCTGGTATGAACACGAAAATTTGACACCGCAAAAATAAAGGACTTTATAGTATTTATATTTGTGCTAGGCTCTACATCTCCTGGCTGCCTTGTAACTTTGATAAAAAGCTCCTATCTGCCATGTTCCAGTAAACATAGTTAACTTTGACCTCTTGTTACAGGCTCCCAGCTGCCATGCTTCGGTAAAGGGGCGACTAGTCGGCAGATGAAGGAGCGGTTTCACATGAATCTTACGGAGGAACAACTTCAGCTGTATGTAGAGAATCTGGTGGAATCTAGTCTACACTCCCTCACCACAAAACTGTATGATAACTTTCAGTACTTCACCAATGGTATCCTTTAGATCAGTCACCCTATCAGGCCTGGAGGGATGCATACTATACGACAGAACAGCCTTGTGTGGAGGGAGGCATACTATACGACAGAACAGCCTTGTGTGGAGGGAGGCATACTATACAACAGAACAGCTTAGTGTGGAAGGAGGCACACTATACAACAGAACAGCCTCTGGTGGAGCATCCTCTAGCTAGAGTAGCCTCCCTTAAAGAGAATCATCCTCCACTTAGACACTTAGAGAAATATACTCTCTACAACAAGATAGTATTATACCCTCAACAACAAAATAGTATTTCTCACGAAGGGGGATACTATCCTTCGGAAAGAGGCGCAGAGGGGGAGGGGGCACCCTGTTCAACAGAACAGCATCTGTTCAAGGGTGGCACCCTCCATAACAGAACAGCATGTTATGATAGATAGGTGCTTTGTATTGTTTGGTGCCCACAACAGTATTCTATATGTTGTGTAGCTGAAAGATATTTCCGAGGATTTCATGGCGCCAAAAACTAATAAAAACTAAACATTAATGTTTCATTATATCAACATTTCTTACACATACCTATACATTTATTACACATTTATTTCTGTAACTTCATTTTGGAAGATTATAGGTGCAAACTTGTCAAAGTAAATAAGATCAGATTCTGAAAATTTGTATCTGTTAACTGGAAAAAATAGTTATCTGAACTATTAAAGTCTGCTTTACTGGCTAATGTTTTTTACATGGGCCAATCTTTAGATATTTTCCTCTGCATTTGTTGGGTAGCAAAGACGTGATATGGTGCTTTGGTATTTGTTAACTAGTCTTATCTTGTATATTGACATAACACCAAGCCTTGCGACAGACCCTGAAGTCTGTGTATAAATATAACCTTGAATCAACATCACAGGCCTTACACTTCGATACAGTTTAAAAAAAAAAAAAAAAAAAGTCGGCTAATGAAAGATTTTAAGTGGAAGTTTTAATGATTTTAAAAAAGATAAATTGTTATTTTCATAATTTTTAATTTCACATAATCATTTTTAATCCCCACTGTATGCATTTTCTGCTACGGATTTCTTAACATATGTATATAAACACACTGAAAATTTTGCACAACGATTTTGATATTATAAGTTCAAACAAATTTGAATTACTGTGTTAATGGGTTGTACACTCAAACATCATCACCAAATGTTTAGTGTGGTGTAAAAAAAATCACTCATGTTTTGTGATCAAATAAGATGATGATTTGGTATTTTCCCAGTCACTAATTATATTTTAGAGAAAATACATTATTTGATCAAGAATTTCATGTACAGAAATGCTGATGTGGTGTTGTGATGTATGGACCGGAGCTTTTTGACCTTGTTTTATTACCTTTGAATGTTGACAATATTAGTTATCTCCGGGTAAGGAGGGGTCTACAAGCTGATCATAGACCCAATCTGGTCTAGAAAGACCAAAGGGGTCTATGAGCCTGTAGACCCCTCCTTACCCAGAGATATAAATTTGTCACCCTCACAATCTTTTATTTATACTCGATAAACACTCAATATTGCCCCTACCGATCACCTTTTTGGCAATATTTCAGACAATGCGAAACCATGTTTGCTATAAGCACTCTAGAGGCCTCTTCATTTGCTGCATTTGTTGAATGAGCTGTCCTTTTAGATTGCTTGTGGGCTATATTGATTTGCTAACCTTGAACGCTTGTTTGTGTCTGACGCCAGAAGAGAGATTCTAGTTTGAGTTATCTCCCCTCACACTTAAACTTTTATAGACCCCGGCAGAGCGGGGTTTCACTCTATACAAATATAGACCCCGGCAAGATATCCAATCAGAAAGAGTGTTACAAATTAGAAGGTTGACATTTTTTTTTATTTAAGGATCGCCGTACTACTGCGAAAAAAATTACTATGCATCGGACCCTTTTCTGACATGACAACAGCTTCTGAGCTAGAAATTCATTTTAAAAAAACCCAGTCATCCTTGCTTGTTGTGTCCAATATAACTAGTCCATGTGCAAATTCCACTCACCCAAATATTATTCAACATGGAAAATAATATTTAATTTTAACTAGTACTCAGTTGGTCTAGCAGTTTTTAAAAGTACTTGTCCAACTGGAAATTTCACTAGTCTGGCTTTCCTTATTGTCTAGTCCTTAGCTTTGATAATTCCTTTATGAAAAGAAAAGCATACCTTGCAAGACTTTAATGGGAAAAAAAATACAGATGAAAAGAAAAAGAAACAAAAGTAAAAATACAATTGTTCTTAGAGGAAAGATACAACAGGGCCAGACCAGGATTCGAACCCTGATCCTTAGAGCATTGAACTGTTTCTCTAACCAACTGAGCTTACCAGGTCAACAGGGGGGATTACTCCAGTAGTACCCTGGTCAAGTCGGGCTTCAGTTTATATCCAAAACAAAATAAGGGGAGATTACTCCAGTAGTACCCTGGTCAAGTCGAGCTTCAGTTTATATCCATAACAAAATAAGGGGACATTACTCCAGTAGTACCCTGGTCAAGTTTATATCCCAAAACAAAACAAAATGTTGCCTGAAAAACATAGGTAATTTTTGTCTCTGCCTTTAACAGATGTGGAGATCAGTTCTCTGTGGCAGAGCCTTGATGCTTCAGCACTAAGAGAAGTTATATTTTTTGTATATATAGCTGTTTTCTATAATTTAAGGGCAATCAACTCTGGGTCAGAAAAATGCAGAACAAATCAGAAATCTTTTTTGTTGGAAATACAAACCAGAACATGGGACTCTGCCTTAATGGGAAATTAGGTATCTTACAAATAAGCTGTAATTAACAATACCCATGTTGTGTGTTGTGTAAGTGTGATGCTTCAGTCAAGACACCACTGATTGGTCAGTATTTTTTCATGTGTTTGGCCACAATGAAATATTTTTGTTCCAAGATGAGATTCCTTCATATCTTCTGTAAATATATATATATTTGTGATTGCTACATGTCTGGCTGAAATTACTGATATTTGAATTAATTTTTTTTCAAAATATATTTGCCTGTAAAGTCTGTTCATAATTTTCAAATATTTTCCTTTGCTTTTGGTATTTGTAATACAAGTCAACAACATGTATATCTATCACGAATATTCTTTAGGTTGATTGACTGTAATACTTAATACTTAATACGAAATTCCAGGGGCTACACTCACTTACATTCTCTGTTCCAATGGAATATGTCGTGAACAATTGAAGGCTCTGTACATGCCATCCTGTGGATGATACAAGTACACTAGTTAGATTCTTGGATGTGTATCAGAAGAATAGCCCTGCACTATAACACTAACAGTAAAATTGACCGGCTTTTAAGTCAGGTGTTTCTCGTCTGTAATCTTCAAAGGACAGGTACGGTGACAACTTTGTGGCTTCAATTTTGTTACGACAAATTCCAGAGATCGCAGGGAGCGTAAAGGAGCGTAACCTCAGGAATTTTGAGTATGATCATTACTATGTATAAGATATTGTATGCATCTAGTTTGTTACAGCACATATTGTATTATGACTTCATTGTTATGGTAATTGTTCACAGATTTTTAAGAGGAACCAACCTGTACTTATATCTAGTCCAAAAGAGTCCCCCATAAGTTATTTTTAAAAAATCATCGTAAGAAACATTAAAAGTCACAAATTTGATATGAATCGCATCGGTTCATGGCCCAATCGCCATGGAATGAATTTAAGGGCATCAATATTAATGTCGTAACAATGCAAGTGTGTTACCATGGTTACCAACAGTCATAGTTTGTTGCTACCATGGTAACCAACATTTATCAGATTTAAATATTTCCATGTCAGTATATATATATATACATGTTATCAATGCAATTGTGAATGTTCGTTGGGAGGCGTGTGAGAGTTGAGAGATTTCCTGTTACAGTAGGTTGTCACGTAGATCAGAATACAATCTGATTAAAACCACATCGTTTATTCCGCTCTGATACTCTCTGTTCCAGTCAAAGATCTGACAACACTGCATATGGGGTCACGTCCTCATGAACTTTTTTCATCAACCAATCAGTGATTTTATCTCAAATTGCTCGGTGATTTTTTTTTTTCGATATTTGTAATTGTTATATAGTGGTCTGAGGTATTCTGCATGCCCATGATTTTCATAGGATGGTCAAAGTTCAAGCAAAGGTCATGAGATCAGAACGTGGCTCTATATGCAGTGTCGTCAGGTCTTTGCCTGGAACGTAGAGTATTGGTGTGGAATAGAATATCAGGTTTTAATCAGATTGATAAGAATATTTCTGACTCAGATTGTATCTACATATCGAGATGCATTGTAACTTTTCAATTTCATAAAAGATAACATTAATAATGTTATTTATCCTGCAATCAGCCCAGAGGGTCAACACATTATTGGTGGCTCAGAATAGAGGGGGGTGGGCTCATTACAGGACAATGAAATAACATGTATAGCCATTTCTACTAAACTGTAATTGATGTAGATGGTGTTTTTACCAGGCATGGGTTTATTGCTGAATAGATAATGTACATACTAGCATCGGTTCACTTCATGATAACGGATAGCTAACTACATTATAGATCAATTAATTAAAGTACAATGTCCTAATTTCTCCAAATTCAATGAAAGTTATTTATCAAGATTATCTGCTTGCTAAAAAAAAATTGCTTCTTTTATTTTTGAAAAGTTAATTTTGTAACAGCAACTTCATCCATGATTATTTGTACAATAATTGTACTAGAAGGCTGTGTAGTATTTGTGCCATTGCTAATTTTTATTAAGTTAAAGTTTTTCATTTAATTATATTTGAAATATTAATTGTGTTATGTATATGTTTAGAATAATTCAACTCTGTCAGTGGCTGAATTTATTTAATGCTAAAGTTAGTTAGCACTGTTTACGTCTATCAAATTTTCAATTTCTTAAAAAGTATCATTAGGGACTTTAACCCTTTCACCCCTATGTAACTTCAGTAGACTCTGCCATGCATTGATATGGACGAATCCATTATGGTCTACAGTGGTGAAAGGGTCAAAAGGGGATAAATTGAAAAATCAAAAACAATCTTGCAAGTTTCATATTAATCAATTTAAGACCGTGTGAGTGACATATTAGGCTTCACAGAAGGGTTTGAAGCAATGCATCATTTGAAAAGCTTCTTCTTTAGAACTGTCATTGTAAATTTCAGGAAATTGAAAGCATTATCTATGGGTTGACTTTAAATTGACCAGAAAAGGGATAAGGGGCATTGGAAAGTGATTTATATATGTTTATTATGTCAACTATCTCCATTTAAATAGTCCTGAGTTGATATTTACTTAAATAAAAATGTTGACTGTAATTTTGTATTCTCACCAAAAATAATATATATACATTGTGAAATATCTAAGTATTTTTCAGTACAACTTGAATGTGCAAGTCATGCCTGTTTCAGTATATATATACATGTGATAATTGTGTTTTAGCTTTCAGCTCATAAAAACAATGCAATCATGCTAATTATGAAAAGTCCTTGTTTTATAAACAGGACATCTGGTTGTTGTTACTATCCATTGGTATCAATTAGAATTTCGTTTTACCTGCCTATATATTTTATTTAATAGGAATGATAATTAAGGTTATAACGTACGTATATCAGGTATTTTTTCATCACTAGAAAACTTTTTTTGGCCCTCCATTTAATGAGTATGAATTTATCATGACAGAGAATATTCGTACAGAATATGATATACGTAGTAATTTATAACAAAGGAAGGGTGAAATTAACACTGGATGAAAACAGATTTACCAGTGAAAGGCGAAATCTTGACTGAAAAAAAATCCCAGGTGTCCGGTAGTGTAAATTTCATGTGATGGAAAAACAGTTAGCTGCTTTGCATCAGTGTATGCAAGTACATGTTATATGTTATGTGTTATGTTAGCCCTTTCTGCAATTTGTCATGATAATTTTGGTCGGAAGAATGATTTTTGCTTGAGATGGAGGTCGGAGGGTAGGG